CTTCATTTGGTGATTTCTTCCTAGAAGAGGCAAGGCTTCATCCAGCCTTCACTCTTGTGCGCCGACAACTAGCGGAGTGGCGGCGTCATTTGGTTTCGCAGTGAGCTGGCCGGTTATTGCGGCTTATTAAACTGGAGGTAACGGAGCTGGAGCTTATGTGTGAGAAAGAACAAGGAATAACATCACCTTCTTTTTGTTCTTGTGTGGGGACTTCAAGAACAACAGCTTCTGCCTCCTGTTGATTTCCTGTTTTTGCATCCATCCAAGAAATGCAATACAACCATATTTCATCAAGGCGGTGTTCTGAACCAGAATCAAAGCTGCAGAAGTAGTCCTCTGTCGGACATTCACAAGCTTGGTGTGGTTCTTGAAAGAACTGAACAACACAATTTTTCTTCAATAGGTGAGTGCACCGGACTCCTCCGGAATCAAGGTCCTTTTTCCCCTGCTTCGTCTTTGCCAATTATTACTTATGTCGAACCTATTCTTCTCCAACAACATTCGCTCCAGGAAATGTCATCTCATCAGAGTTATCAGCGACCACTTCAAAAAGCCAAAATTAAAGTTCTTCAACAAGAAATTTTTCGACTCAAACGACGGTTGTCAAGGCTTAAACGAAGGACATACTGGAGCACACTCAGCTAAGACTTTGATGGTTTCCAATTGCGGGAAAATTATGCTTCCATGACTGATTCAAGATCCTTCGTTCCAACAAAATCCTTACAAACCGACAACGACGACGAAGGCATTGTAGATGATCAGATCTCTTCCACCCCACCCTCGATCCAGTTCAGCTTCGAAGAAATTGAAGATTCTTTGCCGAAATTGCCGTCTTTGCCTGTATTTGATGAACCCGTGTATGACGTGTATGAGGATGACATGTTCGATGGATTTCTTGATTGGGAGCAACCCGCATATGATAATTATGATAAGAGCATGAAAAATGTCAAATCGGAACTATTCAACAGCAAAGGGAACCCTGATGCACCACTTTTTCATAACTTCTCCCTTCTGTGAATACATAGTAGTTAATGATGGCTATCTTGCCAAGCTTGATCCATATCCTCCTCTAGACAAAGCCTGTATGGTCAGTTATGGTATTTCCACAGAGTTGAGGGCAACACTATACGTTGCAGAGCCAAAAAAAATATCCAAGGTAATCATTTTTTATATCGGAGCCATTGGTCTTGGCACAGCAGCAGGTGTAAGAATTGCCGAAAATCACAAATTATTGGTGTTGACTTCAATCCAAACCGATTTGAGGGAGAAAGAAAGTTTGTTATAAATGAATTTATGAATCCCAAGGATTATGATAATTCAATCCCACCTGCTTATACTATTATTGAATAATTAAAGACTGGTAGACAAATTGATAGCGGGTGGACCTATCCTGATCGGTTTAGCTAATCAAATCCACCTCTTTATAGTGGCCAACCGGACATTTTTCTATTAGCCTGAAGTTCCTCCTACCCCGGTAATATGACGTCGGAGCTGAGCTGATTTATCTTATTAAACTTCAGTCTAGTTTTATTTATTTTGGTAGCGTATATGGCTATATAGAATTAGCTCTCTCTTGTTTTGAGTGTAGCCTATTATGGGTTACATTTGTCTATAAATAAGAGCCTTTACTTGTAATAGAGATTAGCTTTTGAGATATGAATAATATTTGAGTAGTTTTACTCTTCTTTTGGGTTTCTGTATCCTGAAGGATTTCAGGTAGTGATCCCACTTCCAAGGATTTCTTGGTCACGTCACCGGCTCTTTGACGTGGATGCGTCGAGCCCCTCCGATCTGATGTTATAGAGATTATGAGCTTGCTCAAATTAGACTCCCATTGAATTCATTTTATTATTAGTTGATGCTTAAGGCTATAAATAATCTAAATTGATCTTAATACTATACTAATAAAGTTCATTAATTTATTTTCTCATCAAATTTCAATCAAAATTAAATATTATTTGATTTAAAATCTTATTCAAACTTATTTCTAAGTTTTCTTTCAAATAACTTTTTTTTTCAAGTTGGTATCAATAGCAAGATATAACTTAAATTTCATGAAGATAATTTTTATAGGTATTAAATTTATATTTAGATAAATATATCATAAATTTTGATTGATAAAGTATGTTTAAAACATATTTTAAAAAAAGTAATTATAATACAAATAATTAAATATGCATGATAATTACATGACTCATTTAAATCTTTTCTCCTCCTCTCTTTCACCTCTGTCCTTCTTTAACTTACGAAGACGCGGCAGCTTCTTAAAATACATTCATTTTCATATTACAAAACGAAGACTTTAAGGCTTCGTTTGTTTTTTTGTGCTTTTGTAAAAGACAGTTTTAAAAAATATTAGTTCAGAAAATGAAGTTTTCTAACGGAGAAGCATACATAAAAAGCTTTCTCAAAACTGCAGAAAAATGAAAAAAAGAAGTTATTGGGAACGTGATTTGACGAACCAAACAATACAAAAAAAAAATTCCTCCATTTTCAAAAACGAAAAAGGCAAAAAAAAAATGCTCAAACAAACAAAACAAACAAAGCCTTAGGGTGCGTTTGGGACGGCTGCAGCTGTCAGTAAAGCAGGTTGTAAAGTTACTGTACATAAAGCTGCTTTCTGAAATTGCTGTATAGAAAGCTGTATTTTTTGTTTGGGTAGTATAATTGTAAAACTGCTTTGCTGCAGCTGTAGAAGAACAATTTACATTACTACCCTCATTTAAAAAAAAAAAAGATGGCTAAATTAATGACTACAACTACATTTCCTTTCAATAAATTTCCTTCAGCATTCCAGTTAGCTCAATATCTTTAGATTTCCGAGCAAGGATATGAATAAAGTAGGATCGTTAATGAGCTCAGTAACTTCATGTAAAACAGTACTAATAATAAAATCAATTTACATTTGAAAATGCGTAAGTACATGAAGTAGTCAACAAAGATCACCAAACAAAAATCCATTTCTTAAGTTTAGACAAAATTGCATAATACTTCAATAGATTCTGAATATGATTAAACAACAAAGATAATATTCAGACCCATAAGTCAACAGATCATGCAGATTACCAAAAGAGCACACGGAAGAACAATTGAAAGAAAAAAAAAGGCACTGATTTGTATCTAAATAGCAAAAAATCCTTCAAGCTGGAGCAACATAAATTCAGAAACAAAAACACGCCTTTCTTTGCCATCCTTCAAGCTGGAGCAACATAATAACAGCTCTGAGAAAATTTCTTTGGTTCAAGATGTAAACATAATAATATAAAATCACAGCTTCAGTTATGAACTAATACCAAACAATAAAAAACCATAATATTTACTCAAATCATATGAAAACTAAAATGTTCATACAACAATTAAAAAAAAAAAAGATGGTTTCTAATTCATTTCATTAACCAATGTAGATGTGATTTGCTCCCGTAGTTGTATCATTTCTTCAGCACCTTCGTCGTCTTCTGCCTCATGATTTGTCACATCTCCTTCATTATCTAATAATGATTGGCCAATCCGATACTCATAAGCTTCTGGAGGTATATATGATTGATCCTCATCGCTAACATTGAATTATGGATCATCACGAGATGGATGACGCCGTATGTAATTATGTAATGCCATTGTAGCCACCACTATTTTCACTTGCTTCTTAAATGGATATGTAGGCATATCACGCAATATAACCCATTTCATTTTCCAAACACCAAATGATCTCTCAATCACACCTCGTAGTGAAGAGTGACGCTTGTTAAATGCTTCTTTTCTCCCACGTATGGATTGACTCGCTCTTTGAAAATCAGGAATATGATACTTTGTATCAGAAAATGGCTTCAAAAACCCTCGTTGCATCGGGTACCCAGCATCCACAAGATAATATTTATCTGTTTGTAATTGCACATTATTTAATTAAATAACAAGTAATGATATTGATTACAATACAAAAATACATACTTACTTGGCGGTGGCATAGGAAATTTATGTTGTTGATTACGTATAGCAAATTTAAAAATACGGCTATCATGTGCACTACCCTCCCATCCTGACATTACAAAAGAAAAACACATATTGAAATCACAAACTGCAGAAAGCAATGGTGCCTCAACTATTGACTGTGATTACCAAAAGAGCAAATAAAAAAATGCATCTCATAGTAGAAAGAAACAAAATAATCCTTATATCTAATTTCAACCACTTAGAGAACCACAATTAATCAGAGAATTTAGAAATCAAGTTTCTATGTTTGTTTAACTCAAATAAGCAATCTATCAATCCTTCAACAGCTATAACTTATTTTCTTAAGTACTGCAAGCTATTTGTTTCTCCATTTGAATATCTCTCATTCTTTTATATTGATGATTCTTTTTATTTAAAAATTGTCCCAGATAGTGCCCAAAGTTCTTCAAAATGCATTGATTAATACTGCTAGCTATTTGTTTCTGGGACAATGCATTTGAATATCTCTTCAGAATACATTGTCCGAGACAGTGAAATGAAATCGAAAGATCAAATGTGAGATGCAAATCGAATACGGAAGCCAAGGAAACTGAAAATCGAAAGCTCACTTATAATGAGATGCAAATAATAGTGGATTCATTCAAAATAACTTATAATCGAAAGCTCAAATGTGAAATCCAAAGCTCACTTATAATCGAAAGCTCACTTATAATGCGACATTAGAACCGCCTGAAATTTATCCGAGATATGCAAGATGTGAGCGTGAGGCCATATGAGGTTATCGGAAGTCACCATTTGGAAAGAAATTACGTTGCGCTTTAGTTGCGCTTTGGTTGCGCTTTAGTTGCGCTTTGGTTGCGATTTAGTTGCGCTTTTTGACTTGCGCTTTAGTTGCGCTTTGGTTGCGCTTTGGTTGCGCTTTAGTTGCGCTTTGGTTGCGCTTTAGTTGCGCTTTAGTTGCGCTTTAGTTGCGCTAATTTTAAAATAATATTTTATTATTATCCGAATCTATCTCTGTGTTCGGTCACCTGACCCAATAATTTGCCCCCAAACGCACCCTTAGTCGTCAACTTACGACGATGCGGCAGCTTCCTCTTCTATTCGCCGTTTACTTGACTTACGCTGTTCACATCTCCACGAAGCCGTCGGATTTCAAAGGAACGGTCGACATGAAGGCTTCCCCTTAACCAAGGCATCCTAGGCTCTGCGTGAGGACTCCGCACAGAATCATTTCTCATATTGGAGACTATAAAAATCTTCATCTCTTCCAATCATTCTCTGTTTCTCCTACTGTTCAGTTGTTCTGCTCTCTCTACCTCGATCATCTGTGCCATGGCGGAATGGTTTGTTGGTCCAATCATGGACAAGATCATCAACGCTTGCTCTGACTACCTGGAAGAGCAAGTCGGATGGCAGACGGGCATGAAGAAGGAGCTGGAAAGCCTGCGAGAGAACCACCCGAAGATCCAAGCTGTCGTGAACTTTGCTGTTAACAAAGCACAAATCAGCGATCAGAACCCAGCTTTCAACAAATGGTTATGGCAGCTCCGAGATGCTATTGATGAGGCAGATGATGTGCTCGATGAGTTGGAATACATGAAGCATCAAGAACAGCTCCTCAAAAACAAGGAAGAAACAAAGGTGTGTTCCGCCACCGCCTGCTTCCTATTTAATTGATTCTGCTCGCGAATATATTTATTTTTTTATTTGATAATGTATTTCTAATTAATATGATCAGAAAAGAAAGTTCCTGCCGAGCTTCGTATATGAAAGTGCTCGTAAAATTCTCAAAATTGGCGAACGTGCTATCAAAAGAGATCCCAACTTGATGCGACTGGAGGAGGCTGTGCAGAAACTTGATAAAGTTTCGGCTGATGTTACTCCTTTCTTTCATCTTTTAGACAGCACGCAGCAGGAACACAAGGAGCTGGAGGTTGATTTCTACAAAGCACGTGAAACAGGATCGTTGCCTACAAATGATCTCATCGGTAGAGGCGAGGCTATGGAGTTTGTTACGCAGTGGTTGAAGAAGCTATCAAATGAGAATCGGGACAGAAACATTTCTCTTCTATCTATAGTGGGCCATGGTGGTATGGGGAAAACAACTCTCTTGCAACACGTCTATGAAGATGAAGTTACAAAGGAATTTGATCTTAAAATTTGGGTTTGTGTTTCAAACAACTTTGATATGAAAAAAGTCATTGCAGATATGTTATCAACTCTTAAGAAGAAGAGGCCTCGTTTGGACGACACACTTGATGCACTTCAAAATAGTCTTAGGACTGAGATTATGTCCAAAAAGTTCTTACTTATTCTAGATGACATTTGGGAGGAAGAGGAGAACCGGGATATCAGCAAATGGGAGAAGGTGCTCGCCCCTCTAGTTTATGGGAAAATTGGTAGTGGGATTTTGGTAACAACTCGAATGGACTCAGTTGCAACGATGATGGCAAAGGTGATTAAAAAGAAGACGGAAATATTTAGATTAGAGGGCTTGGAGGAAGATCAGTGTTTGCAGCTCCTCAACTCTCATGCATTTGCTGATGTAGAGAATCCTAATTATTATCAAAGATTAAGATCCATTGCTGGAGAGATAGTTAAAAAGCTTACAGGATCTCCATTGGCAGCCAAGGTTACCGGTGGTGTTTTGAATTCTAGCTTGGATGAAAGACATTGGACAAAAGTTTTAAATAGTGATTTTGTAAGTCCAAATTTGGGCCAGGATTACATCTTTCCCATTTTAAGATTGAGCTATATGTTCCTCCCAAAACATCTACAAAATTGTTTCGCATTTTGTTCTATATTTCCACAAGATTATGAGTTTAATAAAGATGATCTAGTCACAATGTGGATTGCTTTGGGTTTCATTCAGCATCCTAATGATCAAGAATGGACAATAGAGGATATTGGAGGGAAGTATTTTGATATTTTGGCTAAAAAATCATTCTTTGATAAGTTTGATCATGAAAATTTTGGACGATACTACAAGATGCATGATTTAATACATGAATTGGCACAATCAGTTTCCATGCATGGATGCTTAAGAGTTGAGGATGGTACAAAGTTGCCTTCTATTATTCCTGAGACTCTTCGACACTTGTCTGTTCGAACTTCAAATTCAGACATCATAAAAATGATTGGGAAGTTCAAATATTTGCATTCCCTTTTCTTGTTCTATGAAGCTTCTAATCGGAATCTTTGCAATACACTTATTGAAATATTCAAAGCATCAAAAAGCCTACGCTTATTACGCATATGGACTACAAAAAATTTGGAAATAATACCCGAGGAGATTGGAAATTTGACACATCTTCGATGGTTAAAGATTGATTGTTATAATTTGACTATGTTGCCAAGATCTCTAAGTAATCTCTATCACTTGCAAAGCATAATCATTTCAAGTGAGTTAAGACACGGTAAATTTGATGACGATTTTTTATCGAGTGACATTAATAACCTTTCTAATTTACGTTACCTGATATTGCCGGGGAATTATATTTCATCAATATATGCGATTGGGAAGCTAAAGTCTCTTCAAGCACTATATATGTTTGATCTCAAAGATGCGAGTGGTTATAGAATTGCGGAGATGCAGAATATGAATGATCTTTGCATATTAGGAATCAATTGCCTTGAAAATGTTAAAGAAGTCGAGGAGGCCTGTAGTGCCAAATTATGTGCTAAGAGGAGGCTCACAGATTTAACCTTATGTTGGAGTAGCACTGATTCGAGGAACATCAATTTATATGAGAACGTGCTCGACAACCTTCAGCCACCAAAATGTCTAAGGAATTTGAGCATAAATAGATACATGGGTGCAAGGTCTCCAATATGGATGAAGAATGTCAATCTGATCTCTAATATAGAGAAAATCGAATTGACAGATTGCTTGGAGTGTGAAACTCTTCCACCTTTTGGGCAACTTCCCTTCCTCAAGTCACTGATACTTGATAACATGCCGAAAGTACAGTGCCTCGAAAGTAAAGTTAATGGGAATGATACATACCGTGCCTTTCCATTGCTAGAGGTGTTATCTATTAAAGGATTAGAAGCATTAGAGGATTGGTTTGAGGTAGGAGTGGCTGCTGAAGATGGATGTTTGTTTCTTTGCTTAATTAAATTATATCTACGCGACTGCCCGAAGTTGAAAGAGTTGCCCTCTTTGCCTTCTAAGCTCAAGAGCTTGGAGATTGATGAAATTGGGTGGACGACTTTGAATTTTTGTAGCAATTCAAATCCTATTCCCCTTGAAACATTAGAGGTCTTTCGTTGTCCAAACATTACATCTCTTCCTCTGGCTGATGAAATAGCAAGACTTGCAGCACTAAGATACTTGACGATTACAAATTGCCCCAATCTGATCTCTATGGGAAGATATCGACAAGTGGAGACCACTAATAATTGCCATCTCATGCTCAGCGACCTTACCATAAGTGATCCATCAGTGTTGCTAATGGAGCCATTGAGAAGTATCGCCTCCTTAAAAAAGCTGACTGTTGAGCGGAATAATGAGCTGATTTCATTTCCAAATGAGGCGGAGCAGTGGTTTCTGAGAGTGAGTGCATCTCTTTGTGAGCTGAACTATATGCATCTCGGGTCCTTACAGTCTCTACCTTCCTCCTTGGAATGCTTATCTTCACTTCAGAAACTATCTATTATAAAATGCCCCAATCTGGTCTCTCTCGGAGAAATGCAAACCACTAATAATTGTCATGTCATACTCAATTATCTCCGTATAAGTGATCCATCGGTGTTGCTAATGGAGCCATTGAGAAGTATCGCTTCCTTAAAAATGCTGATTATTGCGGAGAATGATGAGCTGGTTTCATTTCCAAATGAGGCGGAGCAGTGGTTTCTGAAAGTTAGTTCATCTCTTTGTGAGCTGGAATTTATAAATCTCAAATCCTTACAGTCTCTCCCTTCCTCCTTGGAAAGCTTATCCTCACTTCATTTTCTATTTACTAATAATGTCCCTATGCTTCGGGAATTACCGAACCTTCCTCCCTCTTTGAAACGTCTATCAGTTTGGGGATGTCATCCAGAATTAGAAGAGCGCTATCGAGAGGATGGAGGCTCTGATCGGCACAAGATTGCTCACATTCCTCTTATCCTTATTTCTCCCAAAAGATAAGAGCTGGGTCCAACTACTTTAATGAAAATTTCAAAATGCTTAAGCTGCAAACTTCCTTCTTCTTATCTTATTTGTTTCCCTTGATATATATGAAATGTGAAGAATGCAATGTCAGCATTAACCAGTTTGTATCATTTGATCGATGTACTCAATTTTATTATGTATCAATGTTTATATAAAAATATTTCTTCTTTTAATATTTTGTTATATATATGTCATGTAACAGACAACTGATTTTTTTGTTTTTTAGACACATTGAGAAGAAGATATATGTATTGAAGATTATTGATTGCAAATTTTATTTTATTTTTTAATAATGAACTTGTTATTTACAATGTAAAATATTGCATATAATTAAGTTTAGTACTACATTGATCAAATTCATTCATTTTTTTTTCAAGCTCAATATAATCATTCCTGAATTTTAAATCTTATTTAAACTTATTTGTAAGTTTCCTTTTCAAATTCTAGTCAAAATTAAGCTTTAATAAGACTCAACTAATTATATATTTGATACTAATAATTTAAATATATAACTTTTATTATTATGCATAATTAAATTTATAGATTTTAATAAAAATTGGTGTAATCCATTAAGTATTACTTAAATTATTGGATAAAAATATAAATATTAATATAAAAAGTTCAAATCTATCTATCCAACTATTTATTTGATATTTTCATTTCACATAAACATATAAAAATATAAGTAATTTTTAAAACTTATGTACAATAAAAATACTAATAAATTAACATAAAATAAATCATCAAATAAAAAATTAAATACCATTAAATTACTATTTTATCTTTTTTTTAACAAACTATTTATTAAATAACAAGCTTCAAACTTTCTATTTTATGAAATAAGTTATTTAGGTGTTATTTATCAAATTATTTATTATATTACTAATTATGTAATTATATTCTTATACTCTAATTAATTTATTTTTTATTTTTAAATTAGAAATTACTTAACTAAAATTCATATTAGTGATTTAATTAAGTTTTTAAGATTATATAATTAGTTTTAATTACTAATTATCTCATTGATCAATTATTAATTATTTTTTCTAAAATTAATAATTAACTATTTTTATTTTAAATTATACTAATTAAATTAATTTAACGATCAATTATGCTACAAATCAATTAATTATGATAAATCAGATTACATAATTACACTACTAATTATTTAATTAATCTAATAAATTATTAATATTTAAATTATATTAACTATGCTAATTTAAATTAATTTCTTATTTAGGAATTAGGAGGCTATCAAGGTTTGCTTTTCATCTGCTTCCTGTTCTTCTGTCGCTTTTCCTCGTAATTTCTTCATCGTCGCTACTTTGGCTTCGCGTGAAATTGTTTTTGATACAGTCGCTAAAGCAGTTTCTTCGCATCCTTCTTAGGTTTGTATCGGAAGTCACAACGGGAGCTCGCTCGCTGCGTAGGTAATTACCTTCGCCTCCTCCTTCAAGCTAGACCGGAGCTCGCTCGCTTGCTCGTCGAGGAAGAATTTCGTGAATCCGTAAATATGGTTATATCCACCGACCGGATTTTTGCGGGACTCGGATTTACCGTGCGCTCGAAACTGTTTGGCTGAATATTCAGTAAATCAGCATAATCCAGCTTCAAATCCGATACCAAATTGCCCCAAGTATTTAAAAAATAGTTAGGCAAGTGAAATTTTTACTCGACATGGCTTGAGCCGTTTCTCATATCTCGGATTTCTTCTTTTTAGCTCGTAATTGTTTCCCTTATTCTTGTTCTCCAATCCGGGAGAAGAAATGGGAGAGTCATTGCTGTTTATTCGCAATAGTTACTGGAATCTGAGGCACGGCAAGAGCATCTGAACTTTTTGTCTCATCAATGGTAAATCTCTCTCGCTTTCTGGCTCTTTCTTTCTCCAATTAAAAAGATGAAACAACTCATGGATGGGGGCTAATCATGATTAGAAATGATGGGATATCAAATCCTTGGGAAGACTGCCTGATTAAAGGAGAAGATGAGGGCACAGTCTATTTTTTTACACATTTTGTATTTTCTTCCGACATGTTCGGTGCACAAGTATTGTTCACAAAGTTTTCTTTATTATTTATTTTTAACAGTTACATCAAATTTTACCTTTTCTATTCGTGGAATAAATCTTGGTTGGGGCCGATTTCTTAGGGATAAAGTAAATCATATGGCTTGGCTTACCATTTTATTGATTTGCTGCAAAATGGATGTAAAATAACTATAACACTTCAAATCTTACATTTTTTTTATTTGATTTGCTGCAGAATCATGTGCTTATATTAAATTAGTTTATTTTTTTTTATCCTTAAATTTTGTGCAAAATAAGTGTCATAAAAAATATGGGATTCAATTATTTGCATCTAGCTCCTCGTTTGATAGTTGAAATTGTGTTTGACATGTTAATATGTTACATGAATGTCTGAATATTTCTCTTCATCATATATGTATCTCCATACTTAAAAAGAATTTGTTAAATTTCTCTGCATTACTCTAGAATTTTTCATAATTGTAGTTGGTTTTTCCAAATGCATGGTTTGAAACATGGTTGGATCAATGGATAAGAGAAGTATTAAATGATACAGACATTGATTATTCTAAAAACAATAAAACACATATTTAAGTGTGTTTACGTGTCCTGTTGTAATTGGTAAAGAATTGTATAAGCTGCGTCTATAAATATTGTCCTAAGCTATGTACTGAGACAGTTTTTTACTCAATAAAATTTTCTCTGTTTTGTTTTTCTTCCCGTCGTCTTTCCTGTGTGCTTCATCGCTCTACAGGTTTTCATGGTATCAGAGCGGGATTTCTCCAGGTTCTAAAATTTTTTTTTCTCTCTTCTCTGCTTCTGTCGTTTATCGATCGTTTTCCATGGCCGATCAATCGGCTTCTTCTTTCCAAGGAATAGGAACTCCTGCTTCCGATTCCTCTTCTCTCACCGTGATAACTCCTCAACTCAAATTCTTGATCAGTAATACCAAGAATCTTGTTGCTCCCGTCTCCCCTTCTAAAGCCCGAGCTCCCTGTCCTCTCGCTCTCGCTCTTCTTTGTTCGCACAATCCAGCTAAGCCGAATTCCCCCACCCGATCTCCCACTCCGGTTCGCAGATCCAGGGAAGACCGACACCGAACCCGAAGCCAAACTCCCGCATCCCTCTCTCTCTCCCGCTCGGATTGAACCAGGAGGCCGCACCTCCCTGCTCCCGTCCGACCTCCAGGACCGAACCCACTCCGAGCCGAACGCCTAGGTGCCAGCCCCGCCTCCTCCGTCTCCCTCCATTCGCGTGACCAGCAACGAGCAGGAGGCTCGTCGTCCTCCCCAAAACCCAACTCCGCTGTGAGTATTCTTCTGCCTCTTCCTTACCTACTCTTTCTTCCTCCTCTTCTTCCTTCTTCCTATTTCCTAGTCTTCTTCTCCTTCTCCCTTGCAAAAATCTGAGAATCAAATTTAGTTGGGTTTTCATTTTGTTCCATGTATGTGTACTTATTGTTGAGATGGTTGTTGCTTGAGTCTTGAAGAGTTTCTTTGTATAGATCATTGGTTAGATTGTGACCCAGTAGGTGTATAAATCTCTTTGTATAATAGTTGGTTTCATACGATTCTATGAGCATTGCACTTCAAGTGCTTGGTGGAATGCTCCCAAGAGAAAGCCATGAGTATTTGCTTACATGAGGGGTCTCGAGGTCTATTGATTGTCTTCAGAGTTTGGTCTCTAGTTTGATGAAGCATTCAATTTCTGTTATTGTTTCTTAGTTTTATTACATGTGGTTGGATATTCAATGATGCCTCAAGGCTCTCTTTTTTTTTTAAAATTGTGGAAGGTTGTTGTTAATCATGAATGGTTGTGTTATCAACGAAATGGTTTGTTGTTTGAGAATGAACGGTTAATATGTCAAAATTATTCTTGATTTATGATTCATCTTTTAGAGCCTTAGGTGTTAATTGTTTGGGATCATGAGAGGTCTTGTAGTTCCTTTATAAAATCATGCACTTTAAGTATTCGACTAAATGCCATGAGAAGAGGGTTGTGGTGTTTTGTCAATTGCAATCTATGAAATTCAAAGATTGTATGAGAATCCCTTCACCAAATGTTTCATGAGCACATTTAGTAGGAAGATCTTTTGTCGATTGTCTTTTCACGATGGCGAAAGGCTAGACATGGCTATATTTATTAGGGCCCTCTCTAATTTCTTCCATGTTGCATGCTTAATATTTCCTATGAGAGTAGTGGGGGAGATTGTAAATTGTGGTTCATGACATATCGATCCTATGGCTTCTTTGCTATTTAATCTTCTTTGAATAATTGTTTTCTTGTCATTTGGTTATAAAACATGTCTTACATCACAACCATTATATGTTAAGAGGTGTCGCAAGTTTTGTCTAAAACAAGCCATTGTTGGATGAAAATTCGCTAAGTGATGAAAGGGAAAGCCATTGGAAGTTATATTTATGCTATTGTTTTGTCTACCTTTGCAAAGGCAAAGTGGAACAAAAATGAAATATTCTTTCTTTAAACACTCATATATCTTGTTAAGCATAAAATTTGGATAGGGATTTGTAGCATCTCTATCATGATTCATGGCTTTGTTCTTGTTTCGATGTTGGTAAATTGCTAAAGCATATATTGTTTCCATGATTGTTGTAGTTAATAACAATGTGAAATTACTTCTTAGCATGCGAATATTTAGAGAATGGAGATCACTTCTCCCTATTTTAATGAATCATTTAGTAGAGGAGCTTTGAAGCATATTTATATGTTTTCTTCTTTGAAAGAAATCCTTGAGCCTGTTGGAATTATGGAAGTGAATATTCTTCGAATATATGTGTTGTTCTTGGGGTAAGAATTAGATCTATATTTCTCTTATGATAAGACATCAAATGTTTGTTTAGCTTTTCATTGTTGAGATTAGTTGGGAGAATTTCATATGGTGTTACAATAATCAATTTGTTTCATTAGTCATGTTTGGAGAATATATTGAATGATTGCGAGTTTTATATCCTTTTGGCGCCATGAAAGCAAATCATTAGCATTGGGCTTTTGGCAAGAATCAATACAATGAGAGCATGAATTTATCATATAAGAGGTAATCTAAAACATGAATTGTTGTAAACTTTGTTGCTTTCCAAATTACATATTTGCAAGTCTTTTAGATATTTGTTGGCAGATGGCACATAAGCTTTACTCCATGATAGAAAAGTTTTAAAAAAAAACTAATTCCCATTCAAACTCATGTGCATATATGTTGTGTTGTGGAGTCATATGATGATAATTCTCAAATTATGATTGGTGATGGCCGTCAGCTATCAATTCAAAATACGGGTAACAGCATCCTCCCAACTCCATCAGGTAACCTCATTCTAAATCATATAAATCATGTCCCGAATCTTTCTTTTAATCTACTCTCTGTTTACCAACTTACTCGCGACAATAACTGCATCGTTTGTTTTACTTCTAATGGCTATCAAATAAAGGACCTGAAGACAGGTCACGTTCTTCTTCAAGGCCCTTGCCATAGAGGGTTGTATTCTGTTCGTCCAACTACTCAAGCTTCAGATCTTGCTCTGCTGTCCATCAACACCATCCCAGATCTTTGGCATCTGCGACTTGGGCACACGTCCGGATCAACATTAAAACTGTTATCTACTGTTTTACCTTTTAATTCGTGTAATGTAGGCTCTTTACATTCTTAAAACACTTGTCGGTTGGCTAAAAGTTGTCAATTACCATTTCCTGTATCTGTTTCTAGATCTACTTGTTCTTTTGAATTAGTTCATTCGGATGTTTGGGGACCTTGTTCTACTATTTCTTCTCAAGTTTTTCGCTACTTTGTTACGTTTATTGATGACTTTTCTAAATTTTGCTGGGTTTTTCCGTTAACACAAAAGTCTGAAGTTACTAGCAAATTTATTCTGTTTTGTCTCATGGTTAAATGTCAATTTCAAACGACTTTAAAAACTATTCGTACAGATGGCGGTGGTGAGTATTTAAATCGTTCCTTTCAGTTTTTTTGTCAATCTTGGGGCATTAATCATTAGTATACTTGCCCTTATACGCCTGCTCAAAACGGTGTTGCGGAACGTAAAAATAGACATATTTTAGAAACTATTCGCAGTCTGTTAATTCATAGCCATGCTCCTTTAACACTTTGGGTTGAAGCTTTACATATGGCTGTTTATATTATAAATCGGTTGCCTACACCCAATCTTCATCACATAACTCCGTTTGAAACTTTATACAAGAAACAACCTTCTTTTGCTCATTTTAAAATTTTTGGGTGTCTTTGTTATCCTTGGTTGAGACCTTACTCTAAATCAAAACTTTCTCCCTTGTCCATACCGTGTGTCTTCATTGGGTATGCGTCTCAACAAAAAGAGTATAGGTGCCTTGATCCCTCTACCGGTCGTGTGTTTACATCTCGACATGTGGTGTTTACTTAAAACATTTTTCCCTATCAAAATGATTCCCCTGTTCATAAATCCTCGGTTAAGTCTACCCATGTAGATTTGCCTCCTTTACTTCTGGTTCCTCTATCACGCCAGCCCAATACTTCTAATCACCTTACCTCTCCGACATCCCAAGAAATTCAGAAGTTGGCTTCTTCGGGTAATACAACTCAGAATTCCTCTATTCCGCAGATCTCCATCAATTCCAGACCTCTTACTTCACCTCAACCTGCTTCTATCACTCCTATTACCTCTACTGCTCCCATTCATCCTATGAAAACTAGGCGGCAAACCGGTCATCTTAAGCCCAAAGTCATGTTTGATCTCACTCATCAATTAACTGATGCTGATCCGACCTCCTACACTCATGCCAGCAAAGTGGAACATTGGTGCACCGCTATGTCTCAAGAGTTTCAGGCGTTACAATCTCAAGGAACTTGGGACTTAGTTCCTCCAAAACCGGATCAACACATTCTTGGATGCAAATGGATATATCGCACTAAAAGAACCTCCTCTGGCACTGCTTCTCGCTATAAGGCTCGTCTTGTCGCCTTAGGATATAATAGAGAATTTGGTATTGATTACACTGACACGTTTAGTCCAGTTGCTAAAATTCCTACGGTTCGCGTTTTACTTGTCTTAGCTTTACATGAAAATTGGCCCATACATCAATTAGATGTTTCTAATGCTTTTTTACATGGTTCTCTAACTGATACGGTTTATAT